AGCGCTTGGGGAACAGCAACTCCTTCTGGTCTGAAAGGAAGAGGACATGGACCAACAAGCAAGGAAGGTTGAGTCCCAGTTGCTGGAGACTTTGATGCCAAGCTAAGGAAGTGGGGCTTTTAGGCAATGGGGAGCCACTGAGAATTCCTGGGCAGGGGTGAGAGGACCTGGACCTCATATCGGTGAGACCAATCTGACACCAGAGTGAGGGGTGAACTGAGGTGAGAGAGAATTGGGGGTTGCCAGAGCAGCTCCTTAGACTTTCTAGGTAATAAGTAACAAAAATAATTCTGATGAGCGTGTTCTCAATAAAACTTGAAAAGACCAGCCAGACGGGGTTAATGACTGAAATCGGTGTCGTAGACACTGCTTATGATGGCTGCATTCATTAAGTACCTACTGTCTGCGGGAGTCTGTTTGCATGTGACACATTCATTCAAAGATGTAGGGCAGTTAGGGAATAGCTTTCCTTTTCTCCTACTTCTGTCTGCAATCCCTGTCTGTTAGATTATTCCTGTCCCCTGCCCAGAGCCATAGCTTCCCCATCTGGTCATTAGAACACCTTCATCTTCGGTGTTCAGTATGATAGAAACCAAACCTTTTGTCTCACATCCAGTTTGAAGCTTCTTTTTTATTCCCTAAGTCAGATAGGTCCCAGTCAAGACAGCTATGGTAGAGAGGAAGTGCGCTCTCTCTCTCTCTCTCTCTCTCTCCTTCCCTTCCTCCCTCCCTTGCTTGGTTTAGTCTTGAGGATGGCAGGAGGGTTAGTGGTGAAAGGACAAAGGTGATGCCTGTGGTTCCTCTTCACTGGTCAATGCCCTTTATCGTGGCTGATGTGCAAATGCTGGCTCTTCCCCTTGGGGGCAGTTTTGTAGGTTTTCATAGCCCTCACCCTCCCTGTGTGTGGGCCCCCAAGAGTGCGTGACTTTCTCATGCAGGTGATGCATTTTCCAGTCACCTGTCCACGGGCACGAACTGAGTCTGGAAAAGTCCCCTTTAATATCTTTGAAAATATCACTGAAAATGTAATGTTATTTCATATTGTTTAATATAATTTGGTTTTCACAAGACCCCTGTGAGTGCTAAGTTGAGGACTAAGACTGGGGGGCTGAGTGACAGCCGCTAGCCCACAGCTGGCGAGCATCGGATCTGGGATATGAATTCTGGTCGTTCTGATTCCAAAGTCGGCGTTCCCCACCATGTCCTGACACCATCCTTTAAAAGATGAGCCAGACTTTATGCCTGAGAATCTGAGAGAGTGGGGGTACCACGAGCAGGCAGAGAGAATCAGGAGAAGCGACTTGGGATATGACAGTAGCTCTGTTTCAGATATGACGGGTTTGGGGGTTTGGGGGGACATCCCAGGATTCTAGTGGTGGCCTGCAGGTAGCAACAATCTGCAGACTTCCCGGGGGAGGGGGACTTGATAAAAAGGTACTGCTGGCAAAGCAGGCCAGGAGTTTTAGTCCTCAGGCTGATGGATAAATTGGCCTGTATCTGCCTCCCCTCTGATGATTCTGAGAAAATAGATCTACGTTAACAAGACTGACAATTTGCCAAAGAGGTGAAAGCTTGTTGACTGATAGTATCTCTTGGCTTCCCAGTGAGGTGGCAAAGGGTTTGTTATCTTCCTTCTAAAAATAAACACAGGAAAAAAAAATAAACAGGGATAGAAGCAGGGAGGGCACGCGTGCAGGAAGCCTGCTCTGAAATCCTCCTGGTCAGA